GAATCTGTAAAATACATTGTATAGTATATGTATGGTGCACATTATAGGCTGAAAAACGGAATACAACCCACAATCTATAACATGCTAATGCGTATTGTATAGATATATAAAGCGGTACAAAACGGCAGAGCATATTTGGCTTACAACATATGGTATATGGTGTTTATACGGTATAGTGTACATGTATAGCATTATATATATATATATGTGTGTGTGTGTATGTATATATATATATATGTATGTGTGTGTGTATGTATGTGCGTACTTATGCTATGTAAAGACAGCAGTTGATATGTAAAATATACTCTTTGAACACGCTATGTGAGACAGATATGTATGTATTTATGTATTCATACGTATATTTGCAAAATGAAATGTGACTTATATGTAAGTACCATGTATGATGTTCGATATGTTTTTCTAGCTGGCTGCTGCTGTGCCTCCTCTGTTCTGTTTCACGTGGCACATAGTTTCGGAATGTTTTGGGGTCTTTAGGAGAAGACCAGAGGAACGTCAATCTACCAGGCATCTGTCTTCTTCTAGAATCTCCGGCAGAATAATTCAGCCAATCCAGTTATATCAATGGGACTGGCGCGTCTACTTGTCTGCCGGACAAAAGCCGGCGGCCAATCGCGCCCAACAAATGTTCATGCGGATAACTCAACTTTCTTTGGCGTCACTGACACAGCCAACTTTGAAACGATCAAGGAGCAAACAATCTTAACTTTTTGCCACAGGAAGCCACTTCGGCGAGATTGCGTTGCTCACAGGCCTCGTTCCTTGTGATTGCTGTGCTTGCCAGCATGTGCCCAGTCAACGAACCCACAGCCAGTTCACTTTGCCAGCGCAGCTGGCAATCTTAGCAAGGCCAACTCCGCACTGCTTGGATCATGGCCCGTGCATACTGCTTGACATCTGTCCTTCAAGCGTGCCTTGATTTGCAATGAGGGTGGGGGAGAGGGCCTGGCTTTTGAGCACAGCACCTTGCAGCCTGCTGTGCCGGTGGGCAGTTCTTCCGTGGCATTGGCAATTGGAGGGTTTCCGTCGCTCTAAGGAGTGCGATAGATCACCTGATGGCTCAAGATCCGACGTCTATCTGCACCCTTATCAAAAACTTTCAGGACATGTGCCTTGTCCGACTGGAAGCTGCGATGCAATCGGCAAGTCGGCCTCTCATGGCCCGTAGTACTAGTTTGTAGGCTCACGGGCGATCGGGCTGTGCTGGTCTATTGGCAACCGACCTAGCGGCACAATGGTTCATACATTGTCGCTAAGACCTTTAGTGCTGGATGAGATTGCCAAGCCAACCGCTGTCAACCGCGCCGGTATTGCACTGCAAGCATTCGTGATACTCAGAGCATGGCTCCGTGATCATCCACGGCTTTGCCCGTTGTTAGACGCTTCGGAGCCAAGCCCTAGCTACCCCGAAGGAAGGAGACAATCGGTAGTCAGTTAGGCTTGATGTTTGCGTGCGAGCTCCTTGGCTCAGGCTGAAGTTGAAAGCTTCACTGTCATGGGCTGACATCAAGCAGAGATTGGACAGAGAGTTTGATCCAGATGATGTCTTGCGAAACGACCTTTATGACGCTTGGCATGCTTTGGCGAGCCAACAACGAGTCCGTGCTTTGGGCACCAATATGATCGTCCACCATACCGAGGACTTCACTTGCAGTGGTGACGATGGTCTCGCGCCAGCAGGCCTTGTTCTAAATTGCCTTTGTGCTTGTCCTGCTGCCCGACCAAGCCTTGTGCAAGCGAGTTGTGAAAATAGGTAGTTCTTTCATCAAGTCGTGACCACATGTAAGTTCAGTTCAGTGTTGCACTGAGAAGTAACGCGTGGTGCAGCTCTGCTTGCTCTCCGGTCTCGGGAAGTTTCAGTGTGGCAAACACACCGATCAATGTGATCAATTTTGCAAGCAATTCTGCGCAGGCCTGATCACTTGGACGCGATATCAACTGCTGCTATCTCGAATTCAGGCGGGGAGGCTTCGATTTCAGACAAGCGCCGGCAGATCTTGCATCCAATGCTGCGCTGCAATAATTGTCTACCAGTGCTTTGTGGTGGTGTCGTCCTGTGTAGTTTGTTGAACGAGGTCAGTCAACTGGATCAGAAGCTGCTTTGGGCTTTACTCGACGAAGACCAGTGCGGTTCTGCTGCCAAGTTGCAGTTTTGACACAAAGTGAAAGTGCTGCTCTCGTGGCATCCGCTAGTTTGATGGAATGTCGAGCAAGCGCTTTTGCTGACACTGCCCCTCTTTCCTGACATTTTCAGCTTCAGAAGTCCTGTGTGGTTCGAAGGTCAGTTTCGAGCAGTTTGTGTTCGTTGTGTCTTGGATGCATCATACAGAGCTCTGTGCGCAGAGGAGACGATTTCGATCCTTGGCGCAGGTGTACGGGCACTGGCCCGAGGAGACTGGCTCCGATTCCGAGGGTGGAGCTCAACCATCATCCTCGATCAAATCTGGGAAGTCCTCGAAATCTTTCAAGTCCTTCAAAGTGCCGAACATTGATGTCATCGAGCGAAAAGACTCGTCGGCATCGAGGCCAGCTGGAGAAAAGCACCTTGCCACTTCGTCGTCAAGACCATGCAATTGCAGGTTGCGGGGATCTACTTCGACGCGATCTAGGGCACCTCACGCCAGGACACAGGGAAAGCCAGCTGGCTATGCGATTTAGCCGGCAAACTTTCGAGAAACTTCACTGCTTCATAGCAGATATGCCCAGCACTTTTGCGACTTTCGATGGTGACCTGTCCTAGGACAATGCTATTGTCGGTTGCAGCTTCGAATGCTGACCAGGAGAAGGAAACAAGCAGGAACTTCGGTGGATGGTGATGCTGTGGGGATCGCGCAGAGGCACAACTCCGTCCAAAGCGGTTCTGAGTGCGGTGCTGGAGTGCTGGCTCTTTGCAGATGTTGTGTTTCCGATCTTGCTCTGTCTAGCCCAGCACAACGACTAGCTGAGGCACAGGTGTAGCACCTGCCTTCGAGTAAGCAAGTCTGGGAGACAAGAAAATGCTTGGCACGCCCACACCACGGCTATGGGCGGGATTGGGAGCACCGCGTTATGCTGCTGGATACACGGAAAGCTTCATCCCAGGGTGCTCCAATGGTGTGTGCTCAAAGAGTCTGTGACAGATGGCAAAGCACCACCTTCCACTCTCACAGCGGACCAGAGTTCTTACCATTGCACGGTGCATTAGCTCCTGTGACCTGCCTTTCGGGAAACGTATCTTGGCCAGAGCGCTTGAAGTTGATATTGCTTCTTCGGTGGCCTTGTCTCAAAGATCATGTTGAGGGTGTTTGACGCGATGCGGTCGGGCCAGAATTGGCGGGATCACGGGTTGTGATATCATCCCGCAAGCCCACGATGAAATCTCGAAGTGTTCACCTCTTGCTCGTGAGTGCCTGAAGCTCATGACATGTCTTGTGCACATCCAAGCAAGGATCGAAACAGGTAACAAGCCTGACGGAAGCAGGCGGCGATTCCACCGCCAGTAAAACAGCACATATGGCAGTTACCAAAAGCTTAACATTGCGTTCACCTGTGCTGTCTTTACCCTCTACGCGAGAATGTTGCATTCCTTCTTGAAAAAATATGCTCCTTCACTTGGAAGGCTGGCAGCTCTGGAAGACAAGATGCTTGGCTAATCCAGAGTCTCAGGTCCCAAGTTGCTTGCTAGACCAGTTTCCCCTGACTTCGACAGCAAACATCCCGAAATCTGCTCTAGAGATACGTACTGCATTGATGCGAGAGCGATGGCACATTTCAGCAAACACCCACGACAGTGCAGCGAAGTTGCATACTGAAGGATCGACGCACTTCTGGGTGCCTTGGATATACGTGCATGACATTACGGACCCCTTCTTGCTGGTCTGAGCTTCTGGCGGTGAGAAGCTTGAGGCGTACATCCGACAGAACAGTCTTCTTCTCTGCCCATTTCAGAACAACGACTTTCTTTGTCGGCTCCTTGCCTGCGAATGGCCAAGTCTGCGTGTTTTGGTCGCAGCCACCCGTCCCGAGTTGGGAAAAGACCTAGGTTCCCAGGGGACGGCAGAATAGTTTGCATTGAAGTCCATGCGGACTGAGCCGGGATCCAAGCTTCAGAACATGTACCCTTTTCGTGAAAGCTTCATGGTGAGCGGCGGGAGCGGTTGCAGCCCCGAAGGAGCCAGTGAAAACTTCTTGATGCTTGTCTTCAGCCAGAGCCAAGCCTGCCATGACGCTCGGAGGCAGACAAATGTCTGACCTGTAAACACGCAAGTTCACACGAACATCGCTTGCCGGCGTCATGTTACACCAATCAGACTGCGATGGAGCCCTTTTGAAGGCCCGGCCAGCGAGAGATTGTGTTTTTTGCTCCAGTGCTTTGCGCCGAATCGCTGGAACAGCAGCGGCCAACAGCAGTCCAATGGTCTGCATTCTGCACAGCGTCTAAGATGCCTGTGTGCTCTACTGGGGCCAACATGCAAATGAAATCGCAGCTCTGTAGTTGCCATGTTTGAAGAACACGCTCTCACACTGCTCGCCTGGGTCTGAACATCACAGAGGTGCGCACCAAGTCAGTTCTGCTATCGTAGACGGGCTTCAAGACGGAACTCGCCTCGGTGGTTTCACTCTCTCGGAAAGCACCCGAACACCAGAAAGCCAAAAAAGCAGACTAGCAGAGTTTGTCCCAGATCCGCTTTGCAGGATCGCTGCATCCTCGGAGTACGAGTGCAAATACTTTCGACACCCGCGATGTTCCAGGTTTTTTCGGAAATACAGCATCCGCGCGCATGCCACCGTTGCGAGTACAGGAACTACAGGTGACCTTCACTAGCAGTTGCAAGGACCGGACACGATAACATCACTGACGTCACACAGGTCCGCCCTACTTGAGCAAGTCTGAGAGTAAAGGGATGCCGAACTTCCCCAGCACAGCAATGCACCAAGCAATTTCCAGATTGTCTGTGGAAAGGTCTGCAGCCATGTTTCTTGCATAATGGGCAGAGTGATCAATGCCCCTTACCCGGAGATTCCTGGAATCTCTTGGGCATAGCCCCAGAAGTATGGCAACACAAGCGACGAAGCGAAGCTGGCGCGCAGGACAACGGCAGCCAGTCAGATCCAGTCAGTGACAGAAGAGCTCGCACACATCAGATGATCATCCGATGGTTTGGGTTTTTCGATTTCGGTTCGTCCAGACGGAGTGCGTCAGCTTGTCAGACCACCCGTCCGAACGCACCGTCCACTTCTCACCTGCCTTGGTTTTAGAGGAGCGCCTAGGAGGACGTCAGTCTCGTCCAAGCTTCGTCTCACCATCTCGTCGCGTTTCCACTTATGCCATTCCTGGTGTGTGGCAGGTGTTAGCAAGAAACTATCAACAAACATTGAGCTCAAAACTTCCGATTTGTGTCGTGTGTTCGGCTCTTTCGGATGGCATAAGCAATAAGCCGTTGCGCCCCGACGCCCCCCCCCCCCTTCCCCCTGCGCCCTCAATGGTATCCCTCCATTTTGGTCATTCCTCCTCCGCCGCCTCGTGGAACGGCTTGGGCCCTGAGCTTCCATGTGGAATGGTTGGGTGCTTTGGTCGAGGCCTCGTTCCAATAGTTGTGCATTTGATCATCCCCCCTCCCCCTGTGGAACGGCTGGGGTCTTGAGCTTCGGAGTTCAGTCACCCTCCCCCTCCCCCCTCTCTCTCTGGAACAAGGGGAGGGGCGGGGGGGCACAAAGCGCACAGCGGGCAGCCATATATCTGTGACGATTTCAGCCGCATGTCTTGTGAAGTTCCGGCATGTGCTTGGTCTTGAGCTGCGGACATGCACTTCCGAAGCATAGTTGTCTTGCAGTGCATTAGAGCCCCTGCTTTGCCTTGCTTGCGGTTGCTTTAGAGGTTGCCATCTGGATTCATATTGGCAGCGGAGCTTTAGCTGATCCTTAGTGGTTGGGTTTACTGTAGGTGCTCTGCTTTAGCTTTCCGTGTGCCCCCGTGATGGTGGCGAAAAAGGTGCCTGCGGCGCCAGCTGGAGCACAGGATGTCCCTGTACCGCAGGACCCATGGGACGAGCGAGATCCCTCGATTCTCTGCAGCGGACGGGCCGGCGAATGTGATCCCACCACCTCAAATGGATAAAACGTTGTCCATGGTGGGCACCAGCGCAGATCCTAGCGGAGTGGGAGCAAGCACCTGGACTCAGCCTTGCCCAAGGATGCGGAACGGCTCAGCTTCCTCTAACTGTTCAGGGACAACCTAGCTGGGGCTGGAATGGTGGCTGTCGGCAAAGGGAATGGGAGCGTCTTGTTCTCCTTTGCCTGCTGCGATGGCTGAACATGCGGGCATGGCACCTCCGGGTGGCCCACCCTCCTCCTCAGGATCCACTACACTTCTGCGACGACGGCCGGGAGCGGTTCAGAAAGATGAATCAGGCCAGGTCAAGCCGGAGGCAATCGCTTCGGGCCTGCCTGGTCAAGCCGGAGGCAATCCCTCCGAACCTGTTCGTGGCGATGCCAATCTGCCCGGCGGGAGTCCTCCTGCCCAGCCTTGTGGTGCTGGTCTTCCTGGCGGTGGTCCTCCCGGCCGGGGTCCGCGAGATGGTGCTCGTTCCGGCCGCCGGCTGGCTGCAGGGCCACCCGGCACCCCTATGGGATCGTCCTCGGCGGGTACTTCGGACGGAGAGAGTTGGACCCAGTGAGCTGAGTATGCTGGTGTATGTTTCGACCAAGGCGGAGGCGAGGAACGCTCTTGACCAAGTTCCCTGGCAGAGCTGACGGGCCCCGAAGTAGCATCATGCTGTGGCGCTTGCTCGACGAGCCGTTTGGGGAAAGTCGGGCCGAGCTTTTTGAGAGGGCGGAGAGGAAGCTGAATACGTATTCGATGCGGAGGCTCCGGGCCCAGTACACAAGGGTCGGCCCCGACAGCGTGATCTCCGACCGGGATTGGGCACAGAGGCTCTTGAATAGAGCTTCCCTCAGCGAGCGAGCGGCTGGACGTGTACTACTCGGCGGGCGACTCCTGCACGGCTAGTGGCGTGGAGGCTGCCTTGCGTTAGAACAGGTTCATGAAGATGAGGGTCGTGTGCCTACCCCGTGTGCCTACTTTGTTATATCTTTACAAGGAGTTCGTGGAGTTCCCGGGCTCCGGACGACATCGAGGAAGAGGGCCGGAAGATGGCCCAGAGGCGACGAAGCAGCCGAGGAGGAGCAATCCGCTGAGGAGGCCACCGCTGAAGAGGTGAGGAAGGTTTTAAATTTGCACGACCGGAAGGCCCCTGGATGCAGCCAATCGGGGCCAAAGGGGGCGACATCGTCAACGACACGGTCCTCTCCTTCGTTTTCGGCAAAGTCGCTGGCTGAGAAGAAAAAGGGTCCACGTGCTCTTCGTGTTGACAGAGAAGGCACTGGCGAGGGGACCCGCAGTGTGACAACGTTCTTTCCGGGCGCGATCCACCTCACCGAAAAGGGGGCCCAGGCCCTCGGCAATGACAAAGTGGATGGAGTGCGCAAGCAGCAGCCTGGCTGAGTTTCGCCGGGCGAGGCGGAAACGAGCCGTCCAACAGGTCTTATGATCTGCGCCCGCTGGACTCGAGACTCTCGTGCAGCGATTGAATGAAAATGGATGCCCTCACCAAGGTGATGCGGGATGAGCTCTACGAGAAGTTCCGGCGAGAAGGGCGTATCAATGTGATACAGACCCACGAGGATCAAGCTGAAGAAAGCCGGAGAGTTTCCCTTCGCCGTGCCCAGAGGGAGCGGCAGAAAGAGTGCATGAAGCTTCAAGACCAAACACTCCTTATTCTTGGGATGTGACGATTTCAGCCACATGTCTTGTGCAGTTCCGGCCCGTGCGTGGTGTTGAGTGACATGCACTTCCGAAGCATCGATGTCTTGCAGTGAAAACGTGAGAGAGCCCCCGCTTTGCCTTGCTTGTGGTTGCTTTTAAAGGTTGCTATCTCGATTCATAATATATAATATGTTCAAAATGCCTCTGCGGTTGCCAGACGTCCTTCCGTGTTGTCGAACCTTCTGTCGAAATTGTGTTTACCGCGTCATTGTTCTCGTCGTCAACTTTGCAGGACTACGAGCAATTGCGATCCTCGTGATTGCCGGCTTGCAGCTGAGAGGTTTTTGCATAGGCCGGTGCAGCGAAGACCTGGCCCTTGCGGTCGGCATTGGCTATGCAACTCACCGACTTGCAGCAGGTTGGGCAGACCGAAAGGTTTGGCCCAAGCTCTGCCACCGTGCAGCAAACGAGCCTCGCGAGCTTGTGGATCTGTACGGCACCTCGGTCACAAAAGTTGGTCCCCAGATTCGCGGTCGCTCACTTTGATTCTTCCCTGTCCACTTGCTGCTCTCTCTCTCTCTCTCTCTCGCTTTCTCTTTCTTGTTCTTGCATGACCAGTTTGCATGCTGCGAGGAATGAAGACCCGTGAGCTAAAAGCCTTCTTGAAAAAGAATGACGTTTTCGTTGATGACTGCTTTGACATGGATTCGTTTCTCGGCAACTTTGTGTTCAGATCTCCGGTGTCAATGCTTCTTCAGCGGGAACCCGGGAGCCGGGCCGGCCGGGTCACGCCGGGGCCCCTGACCAAAGACATCTCAAAGCAACTTTGACGTCAGGCTGATCCAGCGTGCTTCGGCAACGGAGGAGGACTGGGCACGAAAAGACAAGGAAGAGAGGGTTGCTTCGCCGCTTGGTCTCATTGTGAAGATTGTTGGGCCGACGGGTTTGGGAGCAATGCAAAGCTTGGTCTGATATCTGCAAGTGTCAGACTCTAGAAGATCTTCACGAGTCGGCCGAACGACAACTAGCTCAGAGGGCTCCTGCTGGCATCCCGAAGGGCACCAGCTTCCGCCTCCGAAGTCGGCGATTCCTCCGGTCGTCCGGGAGCCAACGAGGTTGAGAAGGCATGGAAACGGTTGCTTGACAAGTTTCAGCACGGACGCCGACAATAGGAAAGCTTCTTGCGGTTCTAGAACTAGACGTGTCGCGGGACCTTTGCTAGTGCAAGCGAGGACAGGTGGAATGCCGGCAGGGTGTGATGGAATGACCCAGAAAGTAAAGAGAACACAGGAAACTCAAGAGAAACTGCGCATCGCCTGCAACTCGTGTTCTCAGCCTCGGTAGGCCAGAGTTTGAATGCCTCACACAGCACCTACACAATTAGGATTGCGAGGAAAACAGGACAGCGAAGATAAAACGCATTGTCGAGCCACGCTTGTTTTGGGCAGGTGAGGCCAGGGCAAACTTTGGGGGCCTTTCACCGTGGCCACAACACATGGGCGGCTTAGGCTAAGTATTCTGTCAATGCCCCCGAACTCGTTGTGGATTTGAGATGCAAGGATCTCATGGGTCATCTTGGAACGCTTAGGTGAGGGCCCATTCTCAGCATAGGCGTCCTTCTAAACCCTTACAGAGGCGAGCATAAGTCCAAACACTAGGAAGGCAAGTGAACTTCTGGACGAACAAGCCGGGTGTCTAGAATTCAAGGGTCTTGCAAATCCCGGCTTCTAACCTTCTTATCTTATGTGCTACTTGTAGTTTCTTAACCTGGGGCTGCATCTGCCATGTACTGTCTGCTTTCCGCATGCCGCGGCATCAGGGACCGTTTGCATCATTGAAATCTCCCACGTGCAAAGAATCAGAGAAAAGGGAACAGTCCGGCTCCGGACGAGTATGTTTTGCCACAGCCCCGCACAACGCCACACCCGGCAATTTGTGAATGTCCAGTAACCCGGCGGGGGTGTGTGCCGAAGGCTTTGCGAGGCCTGGCCGGGGCAATCACCTCGAGCACTTGGATTGCACGACATTGAAGCGAGAGCCGCAAGGGAGGGGAAAGTTGAGCACTCTCAGCAGCACCCAAGGTATTGGGGCCCACAGATGCCGACAAAACTGTGTCTCGATTGCTTATGCCTGCCCCCAAGAGGTATCAAGTGAAAGACCACCACTGTATGATTCAGGTCATTCTTCTACACGGCTTCGGTGACCAAAACTCGCAGCCATGAGCTCAACTCTGCAATGGAAGATGGTGCCGCATCACATGAAGCTAGAGAGTTCGAAGGTGTCGGCCGGTAACGCGATGCCTGTGAAGCATTCAAGGTTTCTGGCCGACACCTTTCAGCCACTGCTGAACATACAAGGTCTTCGCTTGATTCTGCCACAGGCCCCCGAGGACGCACAGCTGAGCTTGTGTCACACCTTCAATTAGCACGGGCGTCCATGGGCATGTAGAATTCACTGCAGGAAAACCTCCAGGGTCAACAACTTCAGTCGTGGTTTTTGCCTATTAATGGGCAGTGGATCATTGACGACAAGGCTGGCGAAAGCCATCTGTGCCATGCTTGCTAGGCCTTTCCGTTTGGTTGCAGGTTGTCCAACCAGTGGCTGCCTACTTGCACGCGATGGTTCGGAGGGAGATTGCCCTCGGGGTCCGACATTCAAAACATGTGGAAAGGCACAGTCGTCCTTGAGCCGGTACTTTCGCAAGAAGCAGTCGCAAGGTGCCGGCTCATCGAATTCTCATTGGCGGCTTTGCACAGGCACGAACCAGCAAAGCTCTGCTAGGTGTTGCTGAAGAGCAATTGCCAAAGCAGTCAGGGTGCTGGCTGCGCTCTACGCGCAGCCTTGAGCTTCCCAGATGCAGCCCTCGGCGGTGCCATCGTTCTGTCTGGATTCTTTGGTGCACCAGAAGTGTCCCGGCAAGCATCTTATCACGGCCTGTTCTTGCTGGAGCGCCGACAACAGCTTTGTTCTGTAGTCTCCTTTCCTTGCGTGAGGTGGGTCCCTTGGCGGCAGCAGTATATGGTTTCTGTATGTTCATGACATTCGGTGGGATATCCTGCATCATCTTTGAAGAGCACATTCAAGCTCCTAGTAGGCAGTCCCACCCGATGATGAATACAGTCTACACCATTTAGCCAGATAAACCCAGCACCTAGTGCTTCAGGTATTGCTCCCTCGAATCAGCGTTTGCCGACGTTGATCTGCCACGGCAGGAGCGACGAAGTAGTTCCCTTCAGCGAGGGCACCAGGCCAGGATCATGTAAGTTTAGAGGTTAAGACATCTTAGAGCCCTACGTATAAATTACATCCTTACAACTTACTTTTTAATATACCCCAAACCCTACTCTAGCCAAAAAGGGTCTTTGGAACACTACAAGTGTTTAGTTTGCCACCGGTGCAACTGATAACATGTCTGACACAGGATGGCGAGTCTGCTGGACGAGCGCACTGGCAACGCGGTGCTCAAGGAGCCCTCCGTCTGAGAAGTATTGAAAAATTTGACAACACGAATTAGGCACAATGATAATAATGGTAGTAGCACCATTAGGAGTATTCACAGTTTCACTGGTGCCCGCCATTGCCGGCCAGAGCCCGTGAGGTATGAGATGAAACATGGAATTGCCAGTGATGAGATGATAGACATCCTTGCATGTTGGCCGCAAGAAGCACATGTATTTTGCACAAGGGCGTGGAAGTCGGTGTGCCTGTTGGGATTCGTGTGCATGTATGTATGTATGTATGTATGTATGTATGTATGTGTGTGTGTGTGTGTGGTGTGTGTGTGTGTGTGTGTGGTGTGTGTGTGTGTGTGTGGTGTGTGTGTGTGTGGTGTGTGTGTGTGTGTGGTGTGTGTGTGTGTGGTGTGTGTGTGTGTGTGTGTGTGTGTGGGTGGGTGGGTGGGTGGGTGGGTGGGTGGGCGGGGGGGTGGGTGGGCGCGCGTGCGC